ATGCTATGTATTTATATGCTTTATGTGCATTTACCACTTATATAAGACCAGTTATTGAATATTCCTCTCCAGTTTGGTCGCCACACCAAACTATGTTAATAAAATCTATTGAAAATATTCAAAAATGATTCACAAAAAAAATCGCTAATCTTAGTTGTTTAAATTATTCTAGCCATTAACAACTGCTTGGTTTGGTTTCTCTGTAGCTCAGACGTTTAAAACATGGTTTAGTTATATGTTTTAAAGTTATGCATAATTTGGTTTGCATAGATAAAAGTTTGTTTTTCAAAATTAGCAATAATAAGTATACTCGTGGTCCTACTTATAAGATACGCAAAAAAACGATGTCAACTCGACATTCGCAAATATTGTTTTTCTCAACGTGTTGTAAATATTTGGAATAATCTGACATCAGAAGCTGTAAATGCTGATAACATTAGTATTTTTAAAAATAAAATAAAATTGTGCAATTTCGATTAACAGTGTCTATAAAGTAAAGTGTCTATAAAGTAGTCTATAAAGTAAATGAATAAATAAAACCTTGAATGTTTGTATTATAAACTATATTTATTTTATATCTAATTTATTATCTTATTTAGGGTCATATTGTCAGTATCCATATATTGGATCTGTATGTCCTTTAGAACATGTAATTTTTAAACTCGTTCTAATAAATCTTTATTTATTAATTTATCTGCAATTCCTTTTACAATTTAATCTACCATTTATTATCATAGACACATGTAAGGTATATTCCAGTATGCAAATCACCTATGTGGTCTAAAGTCCAGTCTTCTTCATTATTAGATGCATCAACTGTTGTAAAACATGTATCACCTGATATACCTTTCATTTCTAGCTTCCTATTATTACAGGGTATAAAACAGTGATGTTAGCGCATTACTGAAAATCTTTTACAATTCTCTTAGAAAATCTTTTATAGTAGTGGTCATCAAGCTTAGTATTTGCTACATGATCTGTTATATAAGTTTCAAAACAACTAATGAATTTAATACCTGTTATATTTTTAGTACAACATTCAAACATTTTAGTAACATATAATACTTGCTTATTTTGCATGCTGGCCCTTGCTAGAAGTTGTTTTATGGTCTCACCAATGCCAACACATGGACTTTTACCATGGCTTGTTGCAAAAAATTGCCACTCTGCGCGTATTCCACTCTTGAAAATGATGACATAGATTGCTAAGAGTTTTATAGTTTTTGCATTAGCTAGCGTTGGATTGGCTCCATCAGCAAAGTAATTATATAAGTTCAAATTTCAGGTAATAATATTTATATCTTCAAAAATTTTGTTAAAAATGCATATCATGCTATAGTTTATTGGTTTGAGTTTACTTTCAGAATCTTTGTAGTAAATAAAGAATAGATGTAGTGTTACTTGGCTATTTTTTCACTAAAATCCTTGGACCGCATCTTGTGCTATGAAACTATAGTTTTCTAAAAAATCAAGCAAATTAATAAATTGGTTTAAAGATATTCTTTCAGTATTTGAAGAAATAAGGACTGTGCCTTGGAAATAAAAAGGTGTGATTGCAAGTTTTCAATTGTAGAAATGATTTCTTCAAGAAACTCCTCTAACGGAAGTTCTAAAGTTACTAAACTAGTAGCGTACTTCTTTTTAAACCACTGTTTGTACGGCACTATATACTTGTATTCAAAACCACGATGATTTAAGATATTTTGGTTTCATCATCAATCATATTATTTTAATTAGTTTCATCTTTCTTTCAAGAAGTTTTACAGAGTTTTTGATCCAGGCAACACAGAGTTTTTGATCATTCTTAAAGCAGTTTCTTCCTTTATTGATTAAATGGGTTCTTAAAAAAAAGTAGAAAACTTATCTATGTAATTATTACAATTTTTATCAAAAATATAAAACCTTGTATAAACATAAAACTTGTTAAAAATGTCTATCACAATTTTTTTTGTCATCCACATAAAGCAAAAATAAAGAAATAACTAAATAATTTTTACTTTAAAAATATGCTAATAAAAATTTTTGTAAGAATTTTAACTATTACTTACTAAAGACTTAAGTTTTATGAATTTTCTTATATGGGTCACAAAAATAACCTTTTTATAATTTCATAACGTGCAAAGAACATGATTAAGGAATATGTTTTCATCATGAAATGATGAACATCTATATGTTCTCATTATTTCACAATGAAAACATAGAACTGTAGTTATTTAAAAATAGATAACATCTCCAATCAAGAATTTTTAGAATAACACTTTTGCCAACAATTTGAGTAAACAAAGTTTTATGAAAATCAAGGTTTAGTTAAACTCCAATATTAATTTTTTTCTTACTTGTTTTATTTTTCAGTTTTAGATACATTATTGTTTTATCTAAATTTAAAAATATATATTATTTCATTTATCAATATTAATAAAATTTATTTGCATTGTACGTTTTCTTTTAATCCATTATTTTCACTTCCAACAAGGCTGCAAGCAACCACTATAACTAGAGTTGTAAGTTACTGGAAGAGAAAAGATGAAGTTTATAGAGCAAGATAATGACAGGTTATCTTGCAAGATAATGGCAAAAAACAAGTGACTTAAAAAAGTTGTTATATGAAAGTTATATGAATCAGGAAAACAAGATAAAGGAAGCGAATTTCAAAAGGAGTGATGTTCCAGGAAAAAAACTAGATAAATAAGAATTTTTGGAACACTACATATTCAATAACTTAAAATGAAGATTGCATTATCATAAAATACTTAGGCTCTTCTTTTTTTAACCCCATATAAAGATTATTAAGTTTGAATTTAATTTTAGAGCAACTTAATTTAAAAAGAATAAAAATAATTTATACATTCAAATCTGTTGATTTGTTTTTGAGATAGTGGTTATATAACAAATTCAAAATCATCGATTTGAATTTCCACATTTCCATAACCTGCAATCTAAGATTATTTCTACATTCAATTATCACACTAGCACTGCTTATATAGTGACATTTATTTTTATATATAGCCAAAATGACTTTTATGTATCATTTATACCTATTACATATCTTTTGCAACAAATTTATGTTATTCAAACTAGTACAATTTCTGAACAAACCATGCTTTTAAAATAATGTTTTTTTTAATGAACTTAAAATTGATTTGGATTTCAATAACAACTAACTTGAATTTGTTTTTGTAACATTTATTTTTGAGCATCAGCCCCTGTTTGGCCCACTATGTACCTATCATGCTGTTAAAATTCACACCAGATACAAATACTCCTTTTATCTACAAAGATAGGTTGTTGGTAAAGCTGAGAAAATGCTTCAGTGTCTTACAAGCTCCATATTTGTCACGGTGAAGAAATGTTTTTCTAGGGCATCTAGTCACTGGATGGTTCAAACAGGCCTTGATAAACCATTTAGGCTAATAACTCTGCTATAAATGTATTTGTAATTTTTATCTCTAAGTTTATTTTCACTTAATGGTTTTTTAGGGTATTTTCTTTTTAAGGTTTTTAATTTTCTACGAATTGATTAACAGATTTTTGACAATTTAGGAAGAAAACAAAATTATTTGAGTTATTTTGCAGTTCTTAACCTGTGACACATCATTACAGAAAAAGTTTTTTTGTGAAAAGTTTATTGTATATCAAAAGACGTCTAGTTATCTTTATCTGTTACTTCAGCTTTTAAGATATATTTTTGATGAACAAAAAATCAATCCAAGTAAGAATTTAATCTTATTAATTCAATGCAAAAAAGATGTGTAATTTGCAAAAAAGCACATGTAGAATATTTAAATATTAGTATAGATGTTTATCTTAGTTGCGCAAAAATTGATATATATTGCAGTTTTTTTGCATATATACAATTATGCATAATTTGCATACAATTATCCATAATTTGCATATATACAATTATTTTTGCATATATACAATTATGGCCAAAATAAACTAAGCGCTCATAATTATCATAGTTACTTAAAAGTCTAAAATACGCTAAACAACCATATGTTGCATAGGTGGTTGTGTAGTTATAAACCAAAGAAAAAATCTTTTATATGCCAATATGCATTTAAATCATGTGTAATCCAATCATTATTATCTTAGAGTTTGGCAACATCATTTGTTAAACATGTAAAAATACAATTTAATAAAGGCAGCAAGTCCCTGCATTTTCAAAGATGCCTATGACAACTGTTTATAATATCACTCATCACATCAAGTTAACAGATGGTTAACAGGTGCTCAAAGAAAGGAAGTATCATATTTATATTGTGCCAACCTTTTCATAGAGCCTTTAAATAGATTTTTACTATAAAATAAAAAATTTATTTTTTTCCTAAAAAGTCCTTTGGCATACAAACTAAAAAAATGTTAGCAAAAAAAAAATTAAAAAAAGTGATTGAAATTTTTATTTCTTTAAACATTAACAGCTATTTATATTATATGTATGGGTGTATACCCATACATATACAAAGTAAGAAAAATTGTATTTGAACATTCGTTGTTATTTTGTAACATTTGTTGCTATGATTTTTTTTTAATGTTTTTAACAAAGTTACAGAACACATGCACTACAAATGTTTTAATTTTTAAATATTTTTTTGTTTATTTTGAAATGATGTTTTGAATTGATATTTTAGTTATGTTTAAAATTTACATTTTTTTTCTATTAATTTTTTAGTCTAATTATTAAAGCTTTATTTTTTATTCAATGCATTTTTTATTTATTTGCAAATCATGCAAATCTTTGTGAAATATAATGATACATTTGCCAATTCCACTGTTGTTTTTTTTGATAACTCTCAGTAAATTTTTTTATGAATACTAAATAACCAATATAGTTTATTTTGTTTTGGCTAATTAAGTCTATTAAAAAAAGGATTTTTTTAATTGTCAACCAATAATTATATATATACTATTGCAGCAATTAATTTTGTAATTAAATAATTCTAATTTTTGACATTTATTGTTAGATATTGAAATTGTATTGATATATTTTAAATATAAAATAGGATGCTGGACGCATATTGAAAATCTAGATGAGTTTTTTACCGAAGTTTACACATACCATCAGTTGCAAGGATTTGTTTGTCTTTTACTTCGCGATGTATTTGAACTTACGTAAGTAATCCCAGATTGATAACTGCTGATCTATATACACTATCGTGTGTGTTTATGTATATATATATATATATATATATATATATATATATATATATATATATATATATATATATATATATATATATATATTTATTAGTGATTTCGCCGGTTATCCGGTTATTCGGTTAACCGGATTTTGTTCGAATATCAAATATCTATTTTCGAATAATAAAAACCGACTTAAAAATTTTACGAAAATTTATAGAAAGTAACATCGTAATTATGACGATTATTGTTTGACAAATGTTAATTTATCAAAGATTATAATATATTTCTTTTATTAATTTAAATAATAATTTAATCAGTTTTGTTTGATAATATATTCTTAACACAATTTACAATAGAAATCTCAAAGATTTATTTATTACTTTTACAACTCAAGCAATACATTTTTAAGAAAGTTTCTTTAGAATATTCTGGAACTCTAATTCGCTTATTCAGCGTATTTTTTGAAGCAATAGAATTTGTTTATTCGCAGATTTGGCGGTATTTTAGTGTTAGCAAATATTCTTTATATTATCTTTACGCAACAAGTTGTTTTGAGAACATTCAAGTTTATCTATGTTTCCATCTATGTCCGCATAACAAAAAATTTTTAAAATATACGCTAAAAAAATTTACTTCATAACATCTCATTTTTCCAAATCAAATGAGAGAATGATTATAAAACATCCGCTGATATTAAAACATTTAAACTATACTTGTACATTATTCCTACCTTTTTTAATTATGTAATTAAAAAGGTATATTATATTATAATATAAAAAATATATATATCTTTTTCCATGTTTTGTTATAAATATATAATATAGGACTCTATTCACTAACTGTCTTGAAAATGTACTTTTTAACATTAATTTTTAAAAAATTAGTTTAAAACGCTACGTTCGTTGAAATTTAGAAGATCCTGTATTCAGAAAGCGTCACTAATTAACCGAATAGTCGGTTAACCGCAAATTGATGAGAACTGTTATCCGGTTTTTGAAACGGATAACCGGCGAAATCACTAATATATATATATATATATATATATATATATATATATATATATATATATATATATATATATATATATATATATATATATATATATATATATATATATATATATATATATATATATATATATATATGTATATATATATATATACATGTTAGCCTTTCCAGAAGACGCGTGCCTTATGTAACCACGCATACAATATTTTTAACTTAGCCACAGTTTTTTGCAAATATTGGTAGCTTGTGTGTTTTTAAAAGATGCACTGAAAAATACTTATTTAAATAGAAAATTAAAAATAAGCAAACCATAAACGGAAAAGAAAAACAAACTTGATGAATAATAAAATAAATAAAGGATAAACCTCAGAATATAAAAGCATAAAACTAATATATTTTTTAATATAGTAGCATCTCAATCGATAGTTCAAACTTAATTTAAAAGTGTTTCACTTGATAGTTCAAAGCCAATATTTTTTCCTATGAAAATGACTATTATAACCTGCCATGATGATGTAGCACTTAGGTTGATTATTTGTGTCATTACGAGGTCCGGCTGTTATATCAAAACTGGTCAAGAGTTCCAATCTTACGGCTAATTTTTTAAAATGTTTTAGTTGCTTTAGAGGCATTAGAAAATATCAAAGTTTCAAATTTTTAAATAATTAAGTTTCAAAGTTATTAAGCTTGGATTAAAAAACTTTGAAATTTTGATTTTTTCTAAATTCTTTATAGTGAAACACTTTTAAATTAAAATAAAATCTTATTTTATTTTATGCTTTTTTTTTTTCTGGTTTATTTTTTGTTCCTTTTATCATTCATTTTTATTTTTTTAGTTTAGTTTTGTATTTATTTTTTTTAGTTTCTATTTCTCTTTCCAGTTTAAGGTTGTTTATTTTTAATTTTGATTTAAGTTTACATTTATTTGTTTGGCACATTTTTTAAATGTGCAAACTTGAATTATGCAAGAAGCCATGGCCAAGTTGTTAAAACAAAGTATAATATGCGTGGTCTTATAAGGAGGCATCTCCTGGGAAGACTTATGTATGTATAGTGTTGAGTGGTTTAATATTGCATTAAAATACAAAACTCTCAATCAAAGAAAATTGTTCAATAGTTTATAAATTTAATTAAAAAATTTAAAATTTTAAAATAGAGCATTATATAATTGAAATAAAGAAAGAAAAAGCAATTTGTGAGACTTAAAAAAAAATATATATATATATATATATATATATATATATATATATATATGTATATATATGTATCAGACAGTATTTTTTTATTGTCTGACGATCTGTCTGGAATAATATGGGAATTTTAGAAAATTAAAGTTTGCAATATATATTAGGACAGCACTTGCTTGAGTAAGTAAAGTAAGTGAATAACAATAAATGCAAGTTTAGCTGTACATTAAACATTGATGACATCTGTTAAAGTTGCCAATTGAGGTTAAGAAAAATCTAAAAAAGATGGTGTTGGTGTAGGCAGACAGTATCTGTGTAAAAAAAACATGTATTAAGGTTGAAAAAAAATTTATATTATCATGATACAATGCCAAACTTAATCTGAAGTAATATAAGCATTTAAAAAAGTTAAAGAAAAAGATCCAAAAAAGTTTAAAAAATTAAAAAAAACTTTTATCTTAAAATTTATAGTGTGCCTAGCCACACCAAAAATCTTAGTTAATGTTTGTACACTCCACTGTGCTTACCCCTAGATAATCAGTTGATTTAAGTACTCTCTACAGCATCAATCTCAAAATAACTTAGTCAATAAAAAAAAAGATAAAGAAAGTACAATTGAATAACCAGTATCATACAATAAAAAAATAAACATATTTTTAATTAGAAAAGTTAAAAAGGTTCAAGTCAATAAAGTTGCGTTTTTGTATGTCTAAACAAATACATCTCTTACAAGTATATCTTATACAAAGTTCTTTGCCATAAGAGCTATTATTTTTGAAAAAAACAAAATAATCAAAAAAATAAAATATCCTAATATTTATTTGTTTAACATACAATAAGTGTTGTGTTTTTAAAAATAATTATGCTAACCTTCTGTTTAAAAGCAATTTCAAAACTTAAAAAAGTCTTTTTATTTATTTTTTATATATTCAAAGTTTAATTAAAAAAACACTAAAATAATAATAATTATCTTTTCTTTAACATTGTTTGGAAATTTTAAAAATAAAAAATAAAAAATTAAAACAGAAGTTTTTAAATTTAAAAAAAAATACATATTAAATTTAATAAACTTAAATTTTTTAATATTTAATAACCTTAAATTTATTATTATTTAATTAACTTAAATTTATTATTTATTAATAAATTTAAGTTTATTAATATTTATTAATAAATTTAAGTTAATATTTAATAATAAATTTGAATTTATTGATATTCAATAATAAATTTGAATTTATTGATATTTAATAATAAATTTAAATTTATTGATATTTAATAATAAGTTTAAATTTATTGGTATTTAATAATAAATTTAAATTTATTGATATTTAATAATGAATTTAAATTTTTTAAGAACAGAAAGTAGAAAAACATTTATTGAACTGTTTTTTATCAAAAAAAAATTATTTCAAAATTTTTTTATAACAATTAATTACTGCTTAATGTTTTCCACATAAACTATTTCAAAAAACTGTGTAAATATTCCAAATGATTAAAGTTTTGGCATAATGAAAATTTCTTAACGTGTATGTAAAATCAGCATTTTATACATAAAATGCAAACAGCGTAACACTTCTCAACAAGGCTTGGTATATATTTCATACAGGCATATACATATATATATATGATAATTATGATAAAAGTGAAAACAAAAGAATCCAGTAAATTGAATAAAGACAATGAAATCTTATAAAAAAAGCATCGTTTTGATTTGTCCACCTTGTTTTGTCCATAGAAAAATGTCATTTATAGAGAAAAATGTGTTATAAATTTATAGAGAAAAATGTGTTATAAATTTATAGAGAAAAATGTGTTATAAATTTATAGAGAAAAATGTGTTATAAATTTATAGAGAAAAATGTGTTATAAATTTTTTTTGTGATTCTAAGTATGATTCAAACGTTTTAAATTTTGTTAAGAACATAATAAACTATTTAAAAATTAATATGTACAATTGTTTTACAATTTTTTTTTAGTTTTTTATCTACTTAAGTTCTAAACTTGAGTTTGTCCACCATGTTTTGTCCGATACTTTATATATGTTTATTTTTTATTTTTATTTATTTTATAAATTTTTTTTAAAACTTAGTAGCATTAATAGCAATAATTAGTACAAATTTATCTGTTGTTAAATACTAAACATTTGCTTGCTAAAAATGCAGATTGCTAAATAAAAAACAATTGCTTGCTAAAAATTTATGCATTGAAAATTCAGTGAGTTCCCAATGTTTAATTAGAGGTAGATGTCATAGACACCATCACAAAGAATACAGAGGCCCTTTTAAATAAAAGATTGTTGATAAGTAGTGATTTTTGCAACGTGCAGAGCAAATAACCATCTTATTGGGTTTCTGCTGTTGGCGTGAGCAAATTTAGTAGTTATAGGATGGCGTGTCAGCAAGGATCTTTTTAAGGATATTGTCTAGTAACTCTTCAATTGCAAAGCTAATATTAAAGCCACTTGAATTGTTTACATCAAATCCAATAATGTTTAGGGTATTTTTGTGGAAATATTTAATCTCTCTTTTTGCATCAGGTTTAAACGAAGTAAGAACAGGAGCACTATATATCAAGTGGCTAATAACATCTGTACAGTGTAGAAGGTCGGGTTCAGTGTATTCAATTTGCTAATAACGTTTCAATAGATATGGTACTGATTTTATATTGTTTTCTACTTTTGTCCATTGTTCATTCCAATCAAGGTTCTCATTTAAGCTTAGTTCCTAGTTTTTTGTGGCTGTTAACTCTTTTAAGCTCAGTATTACTAAGTGTGAAAGAAGGTATAGCTTGAATTTTGGAGCACCTGTGATTAATTCTAGTTATTTTACATTTAGAGCGATTAGTTTTTATTTCATTGACCATAGGCCATTATTTGTGGTTTGTTGGCCATTGGGCAGCAAGTTATGTCAAGTCTAATAAATTGTGCAAGATGATAAATAGCAATGTGCTACTGACTTTTAGACCAAACCAGGTTTAAGGCACATATTCCTAGAAAGGAAGAGTATCCTCAGGGAAGTATTTTGTATTTTTGCATAGTCAGCCATTATTTGTTTTATTTTATCTGAGTATTTTTTCTTTATGAATATAATAGTACCACCACCTTTGCAATCCTGTTGGTTAGTGCTGTAAGTGTAATTATTATTATTTAAGAAAGAATAGTTTGCTAAGAACTAGGTTTTAGCCAAGTTTCAGTTAGACAGGAATATCAATTTTAGTGTCTGTAAGAAATAGGTCAAAAATCTTGATTTTATTACAGAGCACATATTAGTGGTTCAGATAGCTGGTAAGCATTAGTGTTGATGTTAGAGATAATTAGTTGATGTGGAGCAACAAGTAAGGGCACCACAGATCTTGACAATTGGTCCATGGCAAACACCATAGTGAACAAGGTGCATCAGGTTTATTAATATGATGTGTATCATTACGAGTGATACAGTTTTTGTGAAGTTGGTACTCAAGTTCTCTTAAAACAGGTGGTACCCAAACCAAAACCTTTAGTTGATGTAGCAGTACTCTTTGCATGCTCTACTTATTTAAGTCAGTCAATGTATGTATAATCCACTGTGTTATATATAATATTTGACTATAAATCAGTTGGAAAAAAAAAAAAGAATTAAGTAAAAAAAATGAATTAAATAATAAGAACAGTAAAAAAAAAATTAAAACATTCTGAATTAAAAAACAAAAAACATTCTATTCTATTAAGTTGCGTTTTTGTGGTTTTTTAAAAAACAATAAAATTTAATTAGTTTCCTCAATTATTTTAATGGTTTTTACATGTTTATTTGATTTTGATGACTTTACCCATTTTTAAGTTTTTTTACAATAATCGGTATGCGCAAGTTTCAAATATAGGATTTACTTTGGTGTAAAAAATATTAGAATTAACAATTTAAAAAGTATAAAAATATGGCTTTGTGTAAAACAATTTTTAAATTCTTTATATTGTTTAAATCAAATACTTTATTGATGTACCTTTTAATTTAACAAACTTTTCAGCATGTTTTAGTGTGCCATTTTTAAATTTTGTGCACGTTTGCTAGATTTAAGGGTCATACATTATTTTTTTCAAACATTAGTTAATGTCAAATCAATGAGATTTTGCAAGTTTTTTTATGCTGTGAAGCTCTCTGAATGTTGACTATTTTTGATTTTGAATTGGATTCATATCTGACTAACTTTTAGTCTATGGAATATTGGAAATTTTTTATCAAGACTATCATTAGACCATATGACATAGTTATGGATCGCAAATGTAGCAAATAGTATGAATTATTTACTCGAATTTTGAAAGATTTAGCTTGCATATGAGAAAAAATGAGCACAGGGCAACAATGCATGCAATAAAATATTAAAACCAGCTTTTAAACTGAAATCTGAGCATTTTAGGGTCATTATCAACAGCAACAAAATTTTTGGATTGTATATACTACTTACTAACTGTAAACTATTTTTTTAGCAATCTTTAAATGAGAAAGTATGCATAAAGTTTTAGTAGGGCTTTGACTCTATCTTTGGCTCTAACTAATAACATTAGTCATAAGAATTGTTCTTGTACTATGTCATGTATATATATCATAGAATATATATAATTTGTTCAAAATGTAAATCAATCACAAAAAGTGTCTTAATCCTGCTATATAAGCACATACTTCCCCACAATAACTAAAGCTTTATTACTATTATCAAGGCTTAGACATGTCAAAGTAGCCACTAAATCATACTATTTTAAAGTTTAATTTCTAAAGTATTGAAATCATGCATTCTTGAAATAAAATTATTCCTAAAATTAAAAAAACTCAATTCACTGGTTAAGAGCTGGTTAAAAAATGTTTCCTTTTACTTTACAAAATGTTTCCTTGTACTTTTCAAAATATTTCCTTGTACCTTTTAAAAGTACATAGCAAAAAAATATAAATTTTTTTTTATCTTTTTTAAAACATGCTTTAAAGTTGGAAATCAGTAAAATTTGTAGATGATTTTAATATTTTTCACACATATATAAATAATAATGTATACCACACCTCCCCACAACAGTGTTTATGTTTCAAAAAAGTGCACACGCCCAAATTAAGTTTTTCTAGCAAGGTATGATTATAGTGATCACAAAATTTGAAAAGTGTGTCCTGAAAAAAAAAGGTGCTTATTTTGGTATTAAAAAAGTGTGTTTTTCTCTCATTAACAAATACAGAAAAAAAAACAGGTTTAGAATGAAGTTTGCAGAAAAACTTATTTAAGGTATAGACTAGTAGCTAATAAGCTAACTCTTTAATAAATACCATTTTTTAAAATAACATATATTATATTTCAGATCAATAAGAGATTTCTATCAAAATCAATAATAAAATCTTTTAGTTTAAACATTTTGTTAGCTGATATTGACTGAACATAATAAAGCGTCAAATTCTCTCCGCGTTGTATGAAAGTACAACACGTAATAGATCGTTTTTGTATGTTTCTTTGTAGAAATCACTTGGAAGTTTGTATCTGGAAAACTCACTGAATCTCGAGTGAATAGTTTCTCTGGCCTTTTCGCTGTAAATTCCCAGTTCGTATTCATTATTTCTGCAAAACTCCTTTGGTAATGGCAAAATAATATATGGAGTTTTGTACTCTTTGTTTTGATCTCCAAAGTAATAAAAATATCAAAAAAATCATCTATTGCTTTTTCAAAATCAATGGATTATCAATGCTATAGTTTGGTAAAATTAATGTTTTAATGAGTATCGAAGCTGTATCTGAAAGTGTTCTGTCTGCTTTTTGATAGGATACACAGCAACATTTATGACGAGCATCAAAGTGTGTGACTGCAAAATTAGGCATTATATGTCAAACTTTATGTTCTTTATTTAACTTTTAGCTAGATTAAAATGCATACTTATATAATACATTTATATTACATTTTGTTATATAGTATATATGATTATGTAACACAAGTATAAATTTTAATATATTACGTAATACACAAATATATAATACAAATATTATTATATAACACAATATTTTAAAATCTATTTATACTATGTAATATGTTTAAACTATATAAGATAATTAAATTATATAATAAAGTAATAACAATTAAAGTAACAATTAACCAAAAAATTAACTGCAAGTACCTACTATAATTTATAACTTAATAATATTTTTAAAAGGCTTGGTTTTTACTGCTACTTAGTTTATTTTACTGGTTTGTAGCAATTTAATATATATATATATATATATATATATATATATATATATATATATATATATATATATATATATATATATATATATATATATATATATATAATTACAAATATAATTGTTTACTTATTTTAAAGTTATTTAATTATTTAGTTTTAAAATGAAAAAAACACTCTTAGTTGATGGGACATGCTTTTCAAATTTTGTGAAATATTTTTTTGTGATCACTATAATAATACCTTGCTAGAAAAACTTAATTTAGGCATGTGCACTTTTCTAAAACATAAACACTTTTGTGGGGAGGTGTGATATATATATATATATATATATATATATATATATATATATATATATATATATATATATATATATATATATATATATATATATATATATAACTGCCGACCTAAACATGTTTGCAGTCGGCAAAAAAAATTTGGTTTTGCCGACCTCGTTTCAATGATTTATGGTAAGACCTTTGTATTTGCCAACCTCTAAAAGATTGAGATCGGCAAATTATTGCCGACCTCAATTTTTGAGGGTTGATATATATATATATATATATATATATATATATATATATATATATATATATATATATATATATATATATATATATATATATATATATATATATATATATATATATATATATATATATTCGTATATATATACACACATATATATAAACGTAACAATTTTAAATATAAGCTGTTCCATTCACAAGGAGGTCATGTTTAGTTGCCTGATTTATAAATTTTTAAATATACATAAACTTAAATACATAAATAATTTTTTAAATAGCGTAATGCGTAATTAAATTTTTACTTTAGACAATACATATTCATTGTACTATTTGGTACTTTTCTACTAGTTTGTGTTGATTATAAGAAACTTTTCAGTGATCCAAATCCTGTTTTTGTTGAAGTCATTCATTGGAATAACTTCAAGCAGTGAGTTTTTTTAAAACAATTTTTCTTTTGTTTCCTTAAAAAGCTGTATTTTCAAGTAATAAAGTGTTTACATGTTGTTGTTTTTTTACATTCAGGATGCCATCTTCAGTTATCTTGTGTTTGGTTGTAGCCTTACTGTTTTGGTTGGTGCGACTTTGTCGCGTCATTTTTCGTGTTTACAGGCGTTGGCATATTCGTAAATTTTTCTATCAAGTTCTTCATATTACTGATGTACGCCAATATATATATATATATATACATAATTAAAGTAATATATAGATAATGACGTGGTGGACAGTTAACTATACCCTTATCATTAAGAAGTGCTTAGTAGCCTGTTAAACTATAATAGGCCTCAGGAAGGTGATGAAGTTTAATAGAGTTTATAAATCTGCTATATATCTCAAGTATTTTGATTTAACAATTATAATTATTCATATAAATTTACCATCTGCAACATTTTCATAAATAATGTTACTATTTTATGAACTTCATTATGCAAAAAATTAGAAAACAAGTTTATAGCAGGCATGCGGAGTCCCAAAAGGACTCCAGTTTTATATTTCTATTATTTTCAGATCTGTAGTGTCCAGAAGCTCTAAACATGTTTGTTGACTTATGATCTGCCATAAAAAAATTCATGAGATTTAATGACTTGAAACTTACTGTTTTAAAGCTTGGAGTCCTGGAGTCCCAGAGTCCTTGCTGCCATTATACCTTAGGACTCCGGGTTCAAAAAAATAATTGTTCCTCTTACCTAAAAGTATTAACTTTTTTTCCTATTATAAGTCCATAAAATTTTTTATATTTTTAGAGCTTCTGGATACCAAAAACTAGTAAGAAGTAACCTTTAAGTGACTTTAATCTGGAGTCATTTTTGGGACTCCGCATCTCTGGTTTATAGCGTATTCTTTTTAGCTTATGCTAATTCAAAGTTTAATTCCCATGAGGCTATGTAAAAAAATATATAAGAATACTTTTGTATTTGTATAGCAAATGTAATTTAAAACTCTTCAAATTTGAATAAAAGTACACTCAACACCTTTATTGACATAATAATATACATTGTACTAGTTCTCTTTGAGTAAAAGTAAAATACCTTAATTCCACTGCAACAAAGTTAGTGATGAAAATTTATTTTGGAATAAAAAGAGATTTTTCTTCCACATTTATGTTGTACAACATTGAAAGCTTTATATGCTGTACTATGGATATATTAAAAGATTGCATTACAGACTGGTTTTAGTATTTTTTGCATTTAAGAAATGTGGAAACTTTTAATATTTTCCAACTGTCGTACTATTCAACAGATTGTAATGAACCTCCTAATCAAGCTGTACACAATTAGTAGGTTCATTGCAATCTACCTAATGCAGCTTTTAAACACACAGGATTCTGTTGTTAGTTAATAATTTTACATTAAAAACTCAACACTATGATGTTTAACTGAGTTTGAACAATAATGTTTAGATGAGTTAACAAAATTTGTACCAAGATAATGGTGAAAAAGAATCTCCTTGATTATAACTTCAAATTAAAAAAATCTCCACAATATTTAGCTACCACTTTAAGGATCTTGTTTAATATTCTATAAATACTTTTTAATGAATTTTCAATGTGGAAATGTTTAATGATGATGATGTTTGTTAAGATATTGGTTAAGTGATTAGTGCTGTGAATTTATTTTAAATTTGTTTTATTTTATTGATATGTCTTGTTGAACCTTCAATCACTTTTTTTCTCTCTTTATTTTTAAACCTAAATTCAACTAAATAAATATATCTTATTAATATGTCTTAAATAACATTTTTCTTTAAAATCTCTTTTTTAATAACAAAACAAACCGAAATAGTCATTAGATAATAAATAAAATTACCCTATAGGTTTGTTTTTTGAATTTGCAAGCAATACTTTAGGTCTAAGTTTTCTCAATCATAAAATTGTTTTAACACAAAATAGTGGTATCATTTGCAACCTTATTTAGGCAGATCTAAGAAATATGCAATGGAATGAGGTACAGCACAAATTAATTTTAATGCAGCAAGTTCATCAGCTTTGTATTCATGTTAAAGAACTCACAGAGCTAGGTATGGCTATATATACATAATTAATAAACATTAATGAATATTTTTGTTATTGCTTTTTAAAAATTTAGTTGAGCTATGTATAGGTGTGTGTGTGCATATTATTCTTGACAATTTATTTCCTAAAATATTTGTATTTTTGTTATATAAAATTTATTTCCTAAAATATTTGTATTTTTGTTATATAAAATTGATAAAATATCAACAATAGTTTATATATATATATTAGATTTTTTTTAATATATTTTAAAATTTTAAATATTGTTGTATTGTTATCATTATATTTATGTTGTTTTATTTTTAGATATCCACAACCGCATATTGCGCCAGAAGAATTACATGATATCATTTCAAAATAAAGGAATTATTCCATGTATTTATCACTTTCCATTTATTGGTAAAAGGTAATTTTTTACATATAAATCAAATCTTATCATCTGCTGAGCCTGTAATTAATTTAATAAGTTTTTAAAGTAATGTAACCTAATGTCAATCTATCTTCAATCCTGTCAACTAATAATGTTTTGCATCATGTGTATCATGATATAATTGTATTTTTTGTGCAATATTGTTTATAAATTTGTAGGACTTTCCTAACTGAAGGGTTAAAGTTCAATTTAAACTTGATCCTTTTCAATGGACCTGGGGCACCGTTTAAAAATAGTTGGAAACTTAAAGAAGAATATAAGGACTACTCATGCAGGTATGCTATTAATTCTCTTCAGTATTACATTTTGATTTGCTCACATGTATAGTAAAATAGAGCTACATTTTTTAGCACCTTAAAAATTTCTCTTTTTATTACAGGATGGTATTGGCAGCTTCGTAAGTTAATTTAAGTTGTTGAGAATATTTGTTTTTCACACTTGTATTTTTAAAATATTACATTTTTAAACTTTAACTTTTAAAATCTGTAATCAGTATACTCATATTTTAAATATGTAAATTTAATAAAAATTTGTTGACTTTCTTACACCACTGCAACATTCAACAATAACAACATCAAAATTTTACACCAATAAAATTTACTTAAGATTATTTATTTTAGTAATGTGTTATAATTTATATTTTGAAAAAATTAATAAAGATGATTTGCCTCATTTTAAAATCAGCTAAATTTAGAAATAAATTGTGTGCCTTTTATCAAAGAAGGTTTATAGTAACAAGCATGATATTTTTTTTGCAGGTTATCTCATCGAATCTTTATGTTGGGGGTTTTAAACTTTTTGCTCTGTCCATTTATAATGATCTATCAAGTTCTCTATTCTTTTTTTATGTATGCTGAGGTAAGTCATTTTTTTTTATGTTTTTTAACTTTATAACTTTTACTACACCTTTTTTGCGTTTAAGTTGGCCAATTTTTACTTTAATTTGGTATTTTTTTATTTTAATTTGGCTATTTTCACTTTACAAATCAAAGTGAAAATTACCAAATTAAAATGAAAAAATGTCAAATTAAAGTGAAAATAGTAGCATTAGGTTATGTTGGCCAAATTTACTTTAATTTGGCATTTTTTCATTTTAATTTAGCATTTTTCACAACAATTTATAAAGTAAAAATTGGCCAACTTAAATGCAAAAAGGTGTAGTAATGTTGTAGTAGTGTAGATAATGTTGATAATTTTTTATAATTTACAATTACTTATTCTTTATCTAACCAAAATAATGGTTGAATTAATTCAGGCCTTGCGATAAAGCGTCGGGCGATGTGAATTTTACGTCGTCCAAGAGCGATTTTGCGTGTAGCTATTGCGTCGAGCGATTTGCGTGTAGCTATTTGCGTCGAGCAAAAAAATTTTTGTTTGAGTTTAAAGATATTTTTGAGCGGAATTTTAATGAGGTAATTTACAATTATTTTAACATTTTAAAAACCGCACGCAGTTGAAATAAAAGTTTGAATTAAAAAAAAAATTAAATATGCTCATTATTTACAAGTAGAAAAAATTCAGATTAAAAAAAAAGTTTCAATCTTTTAAGCTAACATTTTAATAAAATTATTCAGCAATAGCAAAGTTGTCGATAAAATTGAACAAAAATACTTTCTTTTAGTTTTAGATTTTAAACTTAAATAATTTATTTTACGGGGGTTTGTTAGGTTTTAAAAAAAAAGATTTAAAAATATTTATTAACTGTTAGACGTATTTAAGAGTAATTTCGAGGAAACATTTTAAAAATTGGTGAGCGCAAATAAAAAAAAAAAATGATAAATATTAAAACGTATTCTACTTGATTCAATAAAAAAGTACAGTTATTAAAATTTTTGTAAAAAGTAACTCAAAAAAATTACTTAAATAATAACAATCGCTTTTATGTTAAAAGTTACCGAAACTCAACGAAGCGTGCTCAAGAACGGCTGCTGAAAAATAAAACGTCAATTGTTTTTCGAATAATTTTTAATAATAATTTTTAAGAATAATTTTTTCGCTGAAATATTTCTTTTATACCTATAAGATTTTTATTCTAACATTTTATTTTATATTACTTGAAATAAAATTCCTTGTTAACATTAAAAATCTATTCAAAACGTTCGTTTAAGTTTTTTATTAATACGAGTGATTGTGCTTATCAACCGTTTTATGAAAATAAATAAAAATAAATAAATAAATATTATATAAAATCGCTTGTAAAAATATTAGCTATTGCACAGTTTTTAATTCTACAATATTAAAATTTCTAGTTTATTACTTGCTGACTTTTTAAAAAGAAAAAATAATTATTTGAAAAACTTTAAATTACATATTTAAGAAAAAAAAATCAAATATTAGCATATTTTACAATCTTTTTGAAATTTTAGTTATAATGTTTTTTATTCGTTTAGTATTGAGAAAACGTGACAAACGTCGAGAAAATAAACAAATGTTTTTACATTTTAAAAAAAGAAACATTCCAAAACATTTTTAAATAATAACATTTCTACATAAACGATTTAAAGTAGTTTTGCGGTAATTAAGTAAATTGGTGCAGTTAATGTCGATAAATATGAAAAGCAAATAAAAAGAATTTAATGACGTCAAAAATCACGTCGTGCTTATGCGTCGCGCAGTTCTTATTCATCGCAAGGCCTGGTAATTATTATTTCTAGACACAACTTGAAATTGACAGCTTTTTTTTTTTTTTTTATTATGTTAATTCACCTCCTCAAGGCTGAGAAGGCCACTGCATATGAGAAAGCTACTTAATTGTGGTTATAACCCTCTCTGAACTCTATAACTCCAAAACACAAACCTTAATGAACAGGGCTGCTACGTGAAGAAAGAAGTTAAGCGCAGTACTACCAGGGACATGGCGGGGATTGAACTTGGAACCTCTTGCTTATGAAGCAAACTCTCTACCACTTCACCACTACTGCAGCTTTGAGTTTACAATGGTTGTTAAGTTTTAACTCAAAAAAAACAAGTTGATTTTTGCAAACAAAGTTGTTTACTGCAAACAAAGCGTTGTTTACTGCAAATAGTTGCAATGTTGTTGATATTCTTATTTTGAAGAAATTCCTCTTGACATCTTTTTGGATGTCTTTCACCTCTAACCTCTCATAGAAACTATATATCAATTTATTTCAAAATTATTTTCCACACAATATCTGTAATGATGCTTGGGCATCATTACAGATATTATGTGGAAAAAAAAGATTTTGCCAAAATTAATTTTATTAATGCTGGATGGAATTCAAGAGGAAATATAGCTTTACTGACATTCATTTTATTGCCAAAACATTGTCAGCAACTGCAACCAGCATGCTATTTTATAACTGGTGAATCTGGTTTTCCAATCACTATGATGAAAGTATAAACTATGAAGTTTTATTAGCTGCAGTTAACCAGTTTGCAAAAGCAAAAAAATCTTTTTTCTTTTGATTACGCTGGTGCAATCAAAAAACTGTTGAAAACAAGATCCAATATTTGTGCAGAACATGCAGTAAAAACAGTGCAAGAAGTTATGGTTTATGCAAAAACTGAAAAAACAATCAATAAAAATTTTATTACAAAAACTAATTTTTTGTAATAAAATTTAAAACTTATACTAGTACTAATTTTTTAAGCATCTAGAGTTGATTAGAAATACATGACTTGAAAAGGTCTAAAATCATTAAAAAAAATTTTTTTTGCTTTATGGGAGAAGTTATTTTTTTATTTTTATTTTTTTTACAATTAAGATATCTTAGTTTTAGTCTCGAACTCATTGTGTAGCACCATGGCCATACAAGATTTAAAAAAAGTTATCACTGTAATATATGTATATATATATGTATATATATATATATATATATATATATATATATATATATATATATATATATATATATATATATATATATATATATATATATCTGATTACTAGATTACTCTTGGATATTTCAAAAAGTGAAAAATAATAATTAATTTAATAAATAATTTCCAAGTACCTCTGTTTAAAATTCATTAGTTTGCATATTTTTTTATTTGTTGTTTCATTAGCTTATTAAAAGATCTCCAGATGTATTTGGTGCACGAAGATGGTGAGTGAGAGCATGATAAAATTTTTGAACTAATTACAATTAAAAACAGATTTCTTTTCTTAAATTCTTCAAATTTTAGGTCACCTTTTGGGCGCCTGTATTTACGCCATTTTAATGAGCTTGACCATGAGTTTCAAAGTCGTTTAAACAAAGCCTATATGCCAGCAACTCGTTATATGAATGTTTTTACATCTCCAATCATAACAATTTTTGCCAAGTAAAAATTATTTGTTATAACAGTTATTATTACTTTAATGAAAGAGGAAATTTTGTTTATTAATCTGTAAAACTTTTTTATTGTTGAACAGAATTTAATTAAATTAAGTTTTCATCAAGAATCTTAGGATTTTTATAGAGTAAGATGTCATACACACAAGACATTTGATCTTTTATAGACTATATATTGAATTTTATAAAATACTATATAGACTTTTATAAATATTTTTTACTGCATCTTTGTCAAAACATTTCTGTAATTAAATTCATTTTTACTATAAAACCTTGTTAGTAAATTTTTTTTTTTTGTTACCTCAACCAAGTTACTAATGAGTTTGATTTATCATTTAAATAAATCTAGAAACATAGCATTCTTCAGTGGTGCCATTCTTGCAGTTTTGCTTGGTTTGTCTTTTTATGATAAAGACGTTCTAACTGCTGAACACGTTTTATCATTTATGGCGACACTTGGTAAATTTTTTATTGAATAAAATATTTTGCTTAACAGAATTATAAATTTAATAATATATCATTTTAGGATTTTGAAATTTTTTAATACGAACTAAAATAAATCAAAAACATTTTTTACTTTTTTTTAATTGTTAAGCGCAGGCTTTTTGATTTTTACCTCCAGGTATCATTATCAAGATATGCTCTGGATTTATTCCTGATGAGGTTTGTTACGATGTGTATTATCATATAGTTTTATTAAGTTTTTTTTTTTTAATTTTTTGAAGTAGTTAAATGGTTAAAAATTAAAAAGAAATTTTTTTTTGAATTTTTATTTAAATAATGCTTTTTTTATCTTTTTTTTTTTTAAATATTTATTTAAACAATGCTTTTGCTTAGCATATGGTGTTTTGTCCAGAAACATTGATGAAACAGATCTTGTCTAATACACATTATATACCTGAGGAATGGAAAGGAAGAGCACATACAATGGAGGTGAGCATCAATTTATATATGCAAGAGTGTATATATATATGTATGATAAATTAAAAAAAAAAAGATTTTCATAAATACTTTATGCTGGGTATCAAAAAAAGTAAAATTTTATTAAAGCTTATTTTTTATTAAAAAAACCTTGAAAAAAAATTTGAATAAATTTAATCAAAAAAATTTTTTTTTTTTAATAAAAAAAATTTTGTTTAAAAATTAAAAAATAGTTTTAAAATTTTTATTTTTTAGTTGTATAAAATAATTGTCATTTTTAAAATTTACATATAATTTTTGAAATTTACATATAATTTTGCTTTTGAGACCCATCATGACAAGCTTTTAAAAAACTTTTTTTTGGCATTTTAGGACTTGTTGCAAAATTCAGTCCCCCTAAATTTAATTACATTTTTGAAAAAGTTACCAGATTTTCTTTTTAGCATTATAAAAATTTTTAAGAAAAGGAACAGTTCTTTAGAGAAAATAGGGGTTGATGCACCCTAAATTCTTACTCAAAATACACCCTCGTGTTTTCAGTAAGAATATCCAAGTTTATGAATATATTAACCAAAATATACCAATAATATTTTGTTTATGAATCTAAAATTAAAAACATTTAATTTGTAAGAAGAAAAATGGTACACAAATTTGTTTTGCTATTGTAATATGTAATTGAAATATTTCTTTCTTTTTTTATTCATTGTTTGAATTAAGCATGCATAAAACATATTTTCAGTGTTAATAAGTAACGTAAACAAAAATTGTGAAAAAAAAAAAATCAACTGTAAAATTGTTTTAGTTTATTCTATAAAAATGTTAGTGTCCAGATATTTTTTTTTGTTACAGGTTCGAGAGGAGTTTTCCAAAATGTTTCAATATAAGTTTGTAAGTGTTTTTTTTTTTCTTTACAAAGAAATTTATTTAAAAAGTTGTTTTTTGTATATAATTAAATGTTCAATCAATCATTTGTAAAAGCAATAGAAAAAAGTTATTGTTAAATGAATATAAAAGAATGAAAAAGAAAGGCAATTTGTAAATTCATATAAATATATATATGTATGTATATATATATGTAAATTCATATCTTAGCGTTCATATTGTTTATTTATTGAACACTTATATATGCAACATTATAAGACAATCCAAAATATTTACTTTTTAATGACATTAGTTTTGATATATGATAAATGACATAACTGACATATGGAAAATGACATATAATAAATGATATCAGTACTGACATATGATAAGTGAAATTAGTTCTGACATTATAAATTACATATGATATTTTTGTACTAACATGATAAACTATATATGATAAATGACCTTTTTACTAGCATGATAAATGAAATTAGTATTGAAATGTAGCAGTTTTTAATAGTCTTATTTGTTTGATTGTTATATCTTTTTAATAGTCAAAATGACATTATAAATGACATTAGTACTGATATATTTTTTTACATACATTTTTTAATACATTTTTTATGCTCAAATTCATTTTGAACTCAGAAAAATTTTCTTATATTTAACAATAGTCTGATATTTCATTTTATTTAAAATCTTGCTTTATTGAAAATTTTTGTTTATTTTGAGTGAATGATGTGACAGTTGTTTTCAATAAGGTTTCTTATTTGGTTATCATAGCTTTTCAATGATTGAAATAAATTTATTTTTTATTACAAAAGTTATGATGACATTTAGAGACTACTGGTTTAGTTTATTTCTAACACAACTATGAATGTGTAATTATAACATTTTGCAAATTTTTTTTAGTCACTTAAAATTAAAAGTTATTAAATTTTAACTTATTAAATTTTTATTTTCTAAAATTAAATTTTCCCAATTCTTGTTTTACTAATGACAATTTTATAGATTTGAATATAATATTTGGAATATAATTTGGTTTTTTAATAAAGCAGTTAACAATAAACTTGTTAGAACATGTCATATCTTGCTTGGACACCGAGTTAGGAACACAATTTAAAATCATTTTATTTGAAAAAATTGTGGTAGAAAATTGAGGTAAAAAAAGGAGGATTTTCAAGATATAAAACTGGTTAGAAAACTGGTTAACAATAACCCAAGCCATTCACTAAAGGAACACACAAAAAGACACAAGTTTGCTCATAGTTTTGCTGTAAAAGTTCAAAATAGTCTTTATTCTTTCAAATCATAAAAAGTGCTCAATCGTTCTGAAACTCAAAAAAAAAAAAGTGCAAGAACCTACTGCAGAAAGTTGTATGAAAAATTTATTTCTAAAAATTACTGTATTATTGAATATATTACTGGTGTTGTCTTTTATATTGCCTAATATAGAGGAAAAGTAGATAAAAAAATTAAAGTACACAAAACATTATAAGTTTGCTAAAAGGCCTTGATTTGGCAAGTTGTTTGCAATTGTAGTAAGAAATCAGCACCTTATATTTCTGAGTCCTCACTTTCTGGACAAATATATTTTAAAGAGTGTTTACAAAATTGTTTTTTGCATCATTAAATCACATGATAATAGACCTCTTTAATTGAAGGATTGACTGCGTTAGGCACAACTTTCATGTCATTTATTAAACAAAAAATGAGAAAAATAAGAACAAAATAATTTCTTTGAAATATTTTATTTTATTGGAATTTTTACAGAACGCGAATAAAACAATTTAATTCTAGTGTGGCTTGTTGTCAAATGCGTTTTTTTTTAACAGCTGTTTAATCATAATTTTAATAGGTTTCAATATACTTATATATGTTTTATACTATTGTGATAAGTAAGCAAAAACCTAATTTTTGACAAATCAAGACTTTTTTTAAGAAAATTTTTTAAAAGTCAACAATTTTTAAAGTGTGATTACACTGAAAGTTTTTATTATTATCTGTGACTGATATATAGAGGCATCCCAAGGGGGGCATAGGGGGTGTTTAGCCCCCCTACTAAATATACATATTACAAAATTGGATCTATAGTTGGTAGTCAACAAATCTCAAAACTGGTTTCTCTTTGATTTGTTAAAAATGGCATTACATGAGATAGAATGGCTGAAAATCAGTTCATCAAACTGCAACTTATTTCTAGATTATAAAAGATTTAAGAAAAAATTTGTCACTGATCTTCTTGTTCTACATTACAGTGCAAATTGTGCTATTAATTTTAGCGAAGGCTTGATTGAAACTTTCAGAAACAAAAGAAGACAGAGAAGCAAATTTAATGGTTGTAGCTCATCATTGCTTAAAATTTAAAATAACAGTTGAAAAATTTGGGATAAAAGTCTTAAAATATTCTTTCTTTGAATAAAAAATGTACAATTATTAAAATTTTTAACATTTTAAGTATATAGAAAAAAAATTTAACAAGCTCCTCCTCTAACACTCCAAATATACAGATGATTTCAAATAGGTAAGATTGATCATTCCCATCATTTTTACCAAATAGACAAAACGTAATCTAAAATTAGATAGATCAAGCTACAAAAATAATTATCATGGTATTTTTGAAAGATTTTTAAGTGACCCTGCCCTTACTATAAAGGCAAAAAAAAATTTTAATTATTACTTGGACCAAATTTTTTTCTGCACTGGTGGGAGAGAGTTTTTTTTTTCAATTTGGAAAAAGCAGTTATTATTTTATGTTGATACAAGTAAAAGTTTATTTTTTGCTGCTATGCCATTCCCGAAAAAATGAAATGTGCTTTTTAGTCATACCCCTAGAGGATTGTGCAAGACAATGTACAAGACACAGAAGACAGGACAATGTACAGTAACAGAAGGTATTAAAAAAATCTCTGAGACTGCACAGGACAATGTACAGTTACAGAAAGTATTAAAAAAATCTCTTTAAAAATAGAAGTATTACTAAACAATATTTCTTGAGAAAAAAAAAAAAATTCTGAAAGTATCAAAAAAACTTCAATATAAATAATTTTAATTCATATCCAATTAGCTTCGCGGTTTTTTTTTAGTTGCAAAAACTTTAGTCCAATTTTTTTTTAAGCAAGAAAAATCAGAATTGGGTTTCTGAGCCACCTATAACCATGATTCCCAATAAACTACTAAAGCAATAAAAGGTTGTGGTGGTTTTGTAAAAACTACAATTTTCCATTAAATGGGGTTGGGCCTAATTTTCAAATAAATACAATTTTCACGGGTTTCGAAGTGGGGGGAGTCACAATTGTCTATTCTTAAAAAAGTCTTCTGTATGTAAAATTTTCTTATCAAAAAAAAATAAATCCTTTAGAAAAAAAGTAGGGGGTTGGAGGGCACTGGCCCTCCCGGTTTCGTCAGCCCTGATCAGTGTTGTTAGATTTAAGGATTAAATAAATTCATTTTGAAAAAAAAATTTGAAGCAGTTATTATCCAACGAAGTATTAACATTTTATACAATTTATAACTCAGTTTTATTGTTACCCACCATTTTAATTAAATTTAATTAAATTAATTAAATTAGATACTTTTCTAATTGTCTCAAATATCCGTCTCTATTATTTGTCTTTTATTTATCAATTCTTTGTCAATTATTATTTTACATACTTTAACTTAGTTTTAACTTTAACTTAGCTCGTAGGGTAAGGTTGCCGATATTGTAGAGTAAAGTCAAAAATAGAGAAAAAATACAAAGTAGAAACAATGAGACTTTTATTTTATAATTTGGGGATAAACTGTTCTAAAAAAGTTGAAATATTCAAATATTTAAACGTTGTTATTTGATAGGGAATTAAATTTTAAAAACACGGTACATCTCGGTACAATTAAGGAAAAAAGATCCTAAATCGTACCATTATAATCCAATATTGTACCTATATCTTGATTTTACAAATACTATATTAATTTACAGTACATTTTGAATGATTTTTATAAAGATCTTTTTCTGTGCCAAGCAATGTAAAAAAGTTCCTAGAATAGTCTGAAAACATCTCAATAAGGTATAACTTTTATATTATATTTGTAACTTACTTATGTGGTTTCTAGAATTTTGGTAAGAAAATGATGGATATTACTGCACATTATATTAATAATACAAAACGGAAAATCTTTATTCTTGACAAAAGTTACAAATATAACGTTTTTGTTTTTGATTAACACCTGCACAGTCATTATGGCACCAGCCTTGACATGTAAGGCATTGTATCATACTCTTTTTTATATTTTCTTCACAGAGGTAGCAAAACCAGCTTATTTATTTGCTTGCTCACACTCTTTCAAACATTGTCTGTCCTGTTTTATTTTTTTATTTGGTCGCAGTAAAGCTCCTCCAGAGAGTGCATCTTTGTAAGGACTACTTATCGATACAGTTGTATTAGAATTATTTTTTTTTTCTTTTGAGAGGAGAAATTCTAACTGGAAGTGGAGATAATGCTTTTATTGGTATGTCAAGACACTGCAACCTAAAAAATAACTTATAACAATTCTAACAAATTTTCTTCAGCCTAAAAATTTTCTGCTAGTAAAAATTAGCTTTAAATTTTCATTTTAATTAAGAAAATAATAATATTATGGATAATCTTCGGAGATGAACATGTGTGTGTGTATTGTGTGTGTGTTTTGAGTGTGTGTAACCATTAATGTAAAATTGCAACAACAAAAATAAAAGACTTACTGTTCTGTTTTTTTCATTGATGATAATAAAGTTACGTTAGAGAGTGGGTCATTATGTGCATTATCTTTCAATAGAGTAGCTCTAGATTTTTTTGGATTTCGCTCGAGTGAAGAAGTTTGCACTGGATGTGCAGAAATCGTTTCTAAAATAAATTCATCCTAAATAAATGAAACGTTAAACAAAAAATATATAATTAGAACAACAGTAACAATTATGGTATTTGAATAAGTTGAGAAAGAAAAATATGTGACTAAAGGCAAACTATGACTAAACTTACTATTTGGGAAGCTTTTGCATTTGAACTCGTCTCTCCACTGAGTATTTCACAAGGTACTAAGTCCTCTTACCGGAAAACTGAGCTGTCTACCGGCCATATCCCAGTGTCTCTAAATCCATTAATAGCAATTTCCATACCAACAACTTTTGAGTAAGCTTCGCCAAACAGTTGAGATACTTGATATTGAGTAATACATCTGCCTGGATGGGTTCGCATCCATTTATCACAAGCAGTATTATATTTAGAATTTAAAGCTTTGAAAAAAGATCTATCTAAAAGTTGTAGCCTATGAGTAGTATGCGATGGCAAAGAAAACATTACTACTCCGTGATCTCGAGCTAGAACTAAGGCTTCAAGGTTTTTTGTACGTGTTGAATGTCCGTCAAGTATAAGAAGAACTTTTTTTTGTTCTGGATTTTCTGCAAGAGGTTTAAGACAAAGTGAGCTTATAAAATGACTTATCCACAAAGTAAATAAATCTTTAGTTATCCAACCAGTATCAGAACATCCAAAAACTGTCAATGGTGGTGCACCATCTTTAAGCTCATTTTTAAATCTTTAACGTTTAAATATAAGCATAGGAGGTACAAAAGATCCAACAGCATTCATACAACATATGGCAGTGGTATTCACACCCTTTTCACCACTTGTAATACCTCCTACTTGGTGTTTACCTTTCAGAGCTAAAACTTTCCTTGGTTTGTGAACTGTACTTATTCCAGTTTCATCTACGTTGTAAAGCAAATCTGCAGTAATATTGTGGTTATCAACAAGTTCAGTAAGTTTATTGAAAAATAATACAAACTTTTCCTTACAAAAACCTGTGGCTCTTGCCATAGAAGTTGGTTCAGGTAATCTCAAACTAAGGCTTGGATTGCGTTTCATGAATTGGTAATACCACTTCTTTCCAGCCATACCAACATCTTTGTTGAATTGATGAGGTATTTTGTTTTTTTCAGCAATTTCAAATGCTAATCGTCTAAGATCTATTGTATTTATTCCAAACATACAAGATTCCAGTTTCAAAACATGTTCAACTAATTCTTTCTCAACTTCAGGAGGTAAGATACTACACCTACCTAACTGTTTATTTGATTCATTTGCAAATATATTTTGATGATTCATATGTCTTTTTAATGTTGGTTTAGGAATTCCATATTTTGCACATACAGCGTTAAGTCCAATTTTACCATTCGATAAGCAAAAATAGCCTCTTTCATATCTTCTTTTGTCCACAAACCATATCTCCGTTTCGACATTTTAAAATTCATATTATTTTTATATACTTCACGCATATTTTGATCATTCAAAATGGCAGCCTTGGTACAATTTAAGGCCTTAAGTGAGGTACGAATTACGCGACTAGACTCACTTTGAGTTTACAACGAAATTAGACAACAAATGCTAATGTATTTTAATTTCTTGGAATTTAATTTGAATTCATATAACTAGTGCTTTCACATAAATATGATAAAAAAAGTTATATTTAACATGTTTAAAGTCTAACAAATCTAAACATTGAACCCCAAAAATAAGAAAACTTTGGCATCTTATCAACTCGAGGTAACTGCTGCCAGAATCTAGTTTCATCTCACGAAAAAACAATTGATTCGTTAGCTTAAGATAGCAAAGATAAAATTAAAGTCAAAAGATTTTTTCTGGGTTGTAAAAATAACTAGATACAGCAATAGTACAATTTAGGCGCCGGTACAATATCGGCAACCTTACCCTATAATTTTTTTTTAATTATGTTGTTCCAAGTAAATATAAACATTTTTTTAATAATTATTTTACATACATTTAATTATGTTGTTCCAAGTAAATATAAACCAATTAGGTATGTAATTATTTATCATCATTATTATTATATATTTTATTAAACACTGGCGTGCGTGTTACAAGTGTTCATTCCTGTATATAATATTATTTTGTATTATATTAAATGTTGAATGGTTGGATGAATTAATGAACGGCTAAAATTTTTAAGTGTTTTTGCTTTTTTGCCTAACTGTTCATAACCCAATGCACTCATAATGTTTACGCAGCTTTTTTCGACAAGTTTTACGAATTCTAAGTTTGCTTTGTGTCTCCATTTGTTAATAGAAAAGCAATTATAATTTTTACGCTGATCTACGATGTTTTCATTATTATCTAAAAAAGTTTCCGTTTGAGTTTCTGTAGTGTTTAAGTAAGAGTTGTTGTTTGACATTTTATTAAACACAGGTGTATAACAGTAGAGTCTAGAAATTTTCGATTTGACTTTACTTGTTGTTTCCTCATCTAAATAACTAAAAATGTCTTTCAACGCTTTTTCTGAGTTGACGATTATATCCTCGTACCTGAAAACAAAAAAAAGTTCTATTGATAGATTTCATAAAGTTATAAAAAGAAAATGCGTCAAGTTACAAGATTTATTTCGAAGCATACCTTATTATAGTGACGTATTTCTGTTTTGCTAGCAGTTTGAAGTTGCGGTACATTTCTTGACATCTAAGAGGGACATATTTTTGAAAAGAAATATTTTTGTAGGAACTAGCGATCCATCCAGTTTTTAAAAGCGACCAAAATGATGCTCGTGGGTCGCGAACCAGATAAAGCAGCTTAAAATCAGTATCTGGGCTCACTATCGAGTCAACATTTTCTATTACAGCTTCCGGAACGCGCATTTCTAGAAGTTTAACCATCAGATTAAATTGATGGCATTCACGTTGCAGATGATAAGAATTCATTACATAATTGTTGCAATGATCGAACTGAATTTTCACGTCAGGCAATTTTTCTTCGCATTTTCTAGTTTGCAATGTATGAAAAGATTTAAATATGGACTTGTTTATTCGAATCCACTCTTTTCTGTCGAAGTTGCATTGAAACATATTTTTTAAATAATCCATGGCATCTTTGTCGTATATTTGGCGTTGACTTGACGTTGCAAAGTTGATGTCTATGTTGTACAAACTATCCATGTTATGTAACGGTTCGTAAAAGTATACCGAACGTAACGAACTACTCAATACTTTACCTGAAATTGAGACAACTATCAATGCGTTTTTCTATCAACACTAAACTTTTATCAAAAATTTGTTTAAAAAATGTTCCTTAAAAATATAAATTGATTTTTATTTTTACTTTGTTTACCTAAAAATGATGAACCGGATCGAGGCTGCGACAAAAGTACCAACAGTTTTTGGGGGGAATATCGAGATTCTCTCGCTTTCGGCAAGTTATTTAAATAACTGTTGAATACTTTTATTGTAAGAATAACATAGATGATTACGACAGCAATCATTGCGATTATATATCGTAAACGCATATTATGCTAATTTTAATATTCTTTTTAAGTTTGATTTTGTCTGCTCATTTTTTTTTTTTTTTTCTTGAAACGATTTAGTGCGCGATTGGTTATTTATATGCTGTTGAATACTCGATAATGCTTGTTGCTGTATTTGCGCGTATTCATTTCAAAGTATTCTTGCTTTAAAATATTCATACATAATTTATAATTTTTATTTTAATATTTTCAGCTCCCATTTTGCATATGGGATATTTTTTAAAAACCGAAAACCTTTTTTTCAAAAAAAAAAAAAATTTTTTGTATTGAAGTTTCTTGTAAATTTTTTTCATTTTACAAGTTAAAAATTTAACAAAACAAAACTAATACTTGATTAAGTCAAAGTTTATGAAAAAATTCATAGTTTAAAATTCATATATTTAACGAAAAATAGAAAAATGGAAAATTAAACGCTTTTATAAGATAAGAGCGTAATTAAATGCGACAATTTAAATTGCCTAATAAAGAAAACTATCCCGATTTCGGACGTCAAAATTTAAAAATTTTGTATTATAAGTATGCAAAATTAAAAGAAGGAAAAACACTTTCAGAGAGCAAAATACTTAAAAAAATTGAACATATTTCTTATTTCGAACAAAGATATGTGTAAAAAAGTGCTTGAATTACAGAAGAATTCTTGAGGAAAAAATTCCCATTTTTTCCTCAAGAATTCTTCTGTAATTCAAGCACTTTTTTACACATATCTTTGTAATTCAAACCCGTTGCGATTGTATTTCCTTCAAAAAAATTGGAAATACAATCGCAACGGGTGTCAAGTTAAAAAAAAATTAGGTCAAACGAAATTCAAAGTAAGACAAAAACTTTTTACTTTCTATTTTAAAACCTGATACTTTTTTATTTCTAAAAAAAAATACGATTGCTGAAAAAAAAATCAGAAAACTTAATAACAAGATTAATTTTCATAATAACTTTTTCTTATGATATAATTATTTTTTCCAACATTTTTATTATTCATCTGTTAGACTTTTTAACTTTTTTGATTTCATGAAATAAAATCAATCAGTGTGAATCCGTTTTAACCTGGTCAAATAAATTAGTATATATTACAAAATAGTATTTAGTATTCTTAAAAAACAGAGTAATAATAAAAAACTTCTCTAGGGGGAAAACACCGCCCCCCACCCCTCCTAAAATCACCTCAGTATATATATATATATATATATATATATATATATATATATATATATATATATATATATATATATATATATATATATATATATATATATATATATACATATACATATACATATACACATATACATATACACATACACATATACATATATATATATATATATATATAAACATATATATATATATATATATATATATATATATATATATATATATATATATATATATATATATATATATATATATATATATATATATATATATATATATATATATATATATATATATATATATATACATATACATATATATATATACATATACATATCTTTCTGTCTTAGATTTATTTATTAGAAGAATTAATGAGTCCGCTGTTGACACCTTTTATCTTATGTTTTGGTTTGCGCTACAAAGCACTACAAATTGTTGATTTTTATCGTAATTTCACAGTCGAGGTAGCTGGCCTCGGCGATGTGTGCTCGTTTGCCCAAATGGATATTCGAAAGCATGGCGCAAAAAATGTAACACTTATTTTAAATAAATTTTTTTATTCATATATATAACATGTTCTACGTTGTTTGTTTGTTTTAATTTTTAAAAAAGATAACCTAATAGATAAACAATAATAGATAAACCTAATAGATAAAAGATAACCTGAGATATATCTAATACTACTACAGTTCTTTAAATACTTAAATATTTATTGTTTGAATATATTTATATAGTTGTTTTTTTTTTATCACAAACTATATTGTTTTAAATGGTAAAGTTATGTAGAAAACCTATACCAATAAAAAGCGTTACTAAGTTTGTAACTTTTCTGCGTTCTTTTATATTACTAAGTTGTTTATTCTTATATTTAATTAGTGGAGTGATGAAGGCTGCTCCAAAGAAGATCAAATGTTATCCGCAGAAAGTCAAGCTGAAAATGCAAAGACTGAGCTTTCACTTTTAAACTTTTCAGTAAGTATTTGTCTAAAATATGAATATCATCCAAATATTATTTCTATTTGTAACTCATGAAAAAGTAACGGAGATTAAAAAAAATAAAAGCGATCTAGTAAAATTTTATGCACTTATAAACTTTTTTATAAGTAAAAAAAAAAACATATTTTCTTTGCTTGTTTTGCGTTCTTGTGATCAGTAGTATCAACTTTTTATTAATAAAACACAAAAGCCTTTTTCAAATGCCTAGATTCAAATTTGTCAAATTAAATATGTACTGTTTTTCATGTACTTGTCAATTTTTTGTTTGCATATTGTATAATCCAGATATGTTCAATAAATTATTATTATTATATAATAATATATAAATGCGTTATATGTATATGTATAGATAAAAAATCCTGACTGGAAACCATCATCTCATGGAAAACAATTTATCGATACTATAAAGGAGCAGGGTATCTTTTTATTGTATATTTCTATATTATATATATATTTCTAAATATTTTTATTGTATATTTCTCAGATAATAAGAACAATTAACGCTTTTGTGACAACAAAATGGAGTATTCAAGTGAGTGTATTTGGTTTTGTACTTGATTGTTTTCATTTTAGCTTTTCAAGAATCATTGTCTCACTCACTCAGCTCTAATCAGACGGTGAGTTTTTAAAAGTAAAGTGCCAGTTTTAATTGAATCGTATTTTTTATTAAGGATAAAGAGGCTTAAGAAAATTTGAATGTGAATAATTTTTTTTTCAGCCTTTTAATGCGGGTACAAGTTTTGACTTTACAAACTTTATTGGTCTTCAATCTATCGCCTATCCTGCTCTTGATCCAGCTATAATGGTCTCACGCAACGATGATGTTTTGCGAAATAGTATTATGTATTTGCATGAGGTGCATGCATGTATATTGAGTTTTTTATTTGTTTTATTTTAAGTTGTAAACATAATAATTTGACAATTTTTAAATAACTAGGTACAAAATCGTCGCCCAATTTCGGTAACTAGTTTAAAGTCAAGTTACGGAGATAATGCTTTTGAAAATAGTGATTTACGAAGAACGTGGCCTTCTGCCACATCGGGGCAGACTTCATTTGATGTAAACAAAGAAAATTTGCTTCCAAGATGTAATTACTTTTAATACTTACATAATTTTTTTTTTCACTATTTTACAAATAAATCGTTCATTAAGTACGTACGCTCAGATGCGGGAGAGGGTGTTTGCAAATGACGTATTTGATATAAGGACAAGGGGCAATCATAAAAGAAAGAAAAAAATTCTATATTAAAAGAAATATTATAAAGTGTAGATAGGTTAAAAGCGTAGGTGGAGACTACTCAAAAAAGCGAATATCAATATGCGGGGGTGGGGGGGGGTGAGGGGAGAGGGGAGAAGGTCGAAATAAAAGCGTGCGTACTTTTTAGACGACCACATATGACGTTTATTTTTATGAATTCTCTCCAATATTGGTTTAATAATATTTGAGAAAAAAATAATTTAGATAGCGCAATGAAGAATCCAGCAGACGATAGGCTTTAAGAAAACTCTTTTAATATAAAAGTTGGTATTGATAAAGTTTTTTTAATTGCCTTATGTAATTATTTGAATGAGTTTACTTCTTTTTTTATTTGTGTTTGCTTAGTTTGTATAAACTTTTTTAAATGCGTTTTGTCATTTATTGTTGTTAATGTCGAATCTACCAGAATAACAAGAGAGGGAAGGGCAATCAAAAAATTTAACCAAGTTAACAAAAACGGCCGTGGCACAGTGGTTAGAGGTGCGAGAGATCCAGACTTCCAAGCCAGCTCTGAGCATATTTTGTGCTATCGGTAAGGAAAGAGGCGTGAACTTCCTAGTTAAATGCTTTTTCGCGGTGCTCTGTGGCATGTGTGGGGCATTTAAAACAAAAATTAATTAAATGACAAAAGTCAAACAAATTTTTTGCTCTTTCCATTTGTCTTATTCAAATTAAGTACACTCTCGCGTAAGTGTTAATTTAAATCTCAAAAAAAAGTTTATTGTATATATAACAATTCATATTTTTCTATTAGATCATTTTCGAAATTGCTCAGAGTGTCTAATTATAATGGTATCTCTTAAAATCACAATCAATAGGATTCATATCTTTATTAGTTTTACTATTATTTGTAATTTTATTTTAGTAGTTGGTACGAAAATATATGTGCATGCCACATGCATATATAAAGCAAAATAAACCAGTTTCCAATGATATATCATTTTTTTCTGAAGATGAAAAAAAAAAGTCTTCTGAAGTCTTTGTAAAAAAACTTCTATTGTACAGACATCAGATGTACTGAAAAAATGATATACAATTGATGTGCAAAGTTTTTTATTAAAACAATACGTATGTCCACAGTACTTTTTACCATGCATTATAAGTTGCTTGTCCATTCATAATTACGAGATTTGACCCCCAATCTATTTCAAAACCTAAAGATATTCTTTATATATATATATATATTTATATATATATATATATATATATATTATATATATATATATATATATATATATATATATATACAGGGAAAAAATGCCAAAATCGGAACAGCGCCTTAATTGGAACACTTGGATTTATTTTGAAAAAAGATGAATTATGGCTATATTTTGCATTTTTTTAGTAAAACGCATTATTTTCTACGTTTTGACACATTTTTAAAGTTATTCCTCAAAAAATGCGTTTGCACCATTGACATAAAGTTTTTTTTTGCATCATTTTTTTTTTTCAGTGATTTATTTTTGCATTCACGGTATATTAATTGCGCTGCACTGTGGGCCAAAATCATTATTAGCTGGACAAAAGTAATAACTTAAAAATTTAATATTTTAATAAATTAAAATATTATTCAAATTTTTCCCATAGTTGCCAGGTTGAGTATATTTCATACTACGAATTTAATGGTACCAATAGATTGTTTATTCAGTTGCTATGGATACTTATATTCCATAGCAACAGTGTATTTTGCATAGTTACTTAAGTTAAGAGACTTTCTTAAAATGTCAAATTATAAACTAAACTGGTATTATTGTTACGATGCTATTTTATGTGTTTAAATGATAATACAAACAAAAATTAGTAATTTTTGGTGTTGCTATACCATTTTGGGCTCTTAGAAACCAATTATTTTTTTTTTTTTAATAAAACTTGCCTAATTAAAAATTTCTTTAAATTCAAAAATTAAATTAAAACTTTGAAAACAATCTTACCTCTAAGGGTTTATAGACACAGTTAATAAAATTCAAATCAATTGAATTTATGTAGTTCACATGTCCTTAGTAACCAAATAAAAATCAACAAGTGTTAATACAGTTAGAGCTATTGAATACTTTATAAAGTATTTGTAAGAGTACAAGCAAATTTGTATATTCAAAAAAACGTTTATTTACATAACATACATTATTTTATTATAAAATAATAAATACTAAAAAGTAAACAACACCTTTAATACCAACTTCCTTGGATATATATTTTTTTCAAATGGTGTACTTGTAAACCACTTTTTCACTGTTAATTTGTGGTTAATTTTAAGAAAACATTCCATGCTTTTATTTCAAGCATGGAAAGTTAAAAGGCAATAGCAGAGACCTATCTCTGTCAACGACATATTTTTAGCTTCTACTAAAAAATTTTGTTTTTTTATCTCAACTGTTGCCTGAATATAAATCCTAAGACTAGTTGATCCATCAAATCGAACTTTAGAATGTAATGTTAGTCTTTCAAGATCATTCATGGAATTGATAACTTGTTTCTACTGTATTAGGCGTATTGTTGTATGATCAACTAACGATTAAGAGTTTATTTTTTCAGAAAAACTATTAATTGTTCATAATTTCTTTTCAGTACAATTATTATTATTTACCAGCACGAACATTTTTGTATGCAGGACAGAGATTACAACCTTTACTAACAGCATTATTTCTCAAGTGTAAGTAATCAGATTTGCTCATATTATTATCTAATATGAGTGCTAGAGTTTTTTTTAGAGTTTTTTTGAGCATGTTCTGAATCAGAAGGCTGCTTAACAGATAAACTTTAAATCACTTTTACATTAATTCTTCATCACTAAAAAAATTACAACTACCAGCTTACAACAGTTTATTTAAATAACTAGTTAATAACTCGATAGCTACTACTTTACGACTCTTTGTCTTATTTGATGAATTTTCAAATGATTTCACATGTTTACCACTAACTATAGATTTTGTTTTATTATCCTAATTTTTTGATGATTTAATAGTCTTTTTCTTAGGTTGGAGTTAGGAATGAGGTAACAAGAGGTTTTCATCAACTCCTAAACTTAAAGACCAACAATTACAATCCTTTGGCAAAAAAGTTACAAATTGAGCATCAAATTGAAAAAAGTATTCACAAATAAAAACGCGAACATCAAGTTTGTCTTTTTGATTAGACATAGATAAACCATGCTGTCTTATGAATTGATGAACTTGATATCTTGTACATGTTGACATATTAAAAATAATAGTATTAAACTAAAAATTAAAATGACTTTATATATATAGATAATATATATATATATATATATATATATATATATATATATATATATATATATATATATATATATATATATATATATATATATATATATATATATATATATATATATATATATATATATATATATATATATATATATATATATATATATATATATATACACATATATATATAATATATATATATATATATAATATATATATATATATATATATATATATATATATATACATATATATATATATATATATATATATATATATATAATATATATATATATATATATACATATATATATATATATATATATATATATATATATATATATATATATATATATATATATATATATATATATATATATATATATATATATATATATATATATATATATATATATATATATATGTTAAACTAAAAATTAAAATGACTTTATATATATATATATATATATAATATAAAAAAAAACTTAAAGATAAAACATCTTTCATTTTACAGCAAGTATTAAAAAAAGTAGCAGATACTAGCAGCTAGATGAATAACTTTATGAAAGCATATATGTAGAGCCTTCAAAATATGTATAAGAGATAAGGGCAAAATACAGCACACATTTTTCCTTGTTGTCCTTTCAAAAAAGGAAGGGTAAAAATAGGACATTTGCTACCAAAACTTATATTCAAAACTAGTTTAAAGATTTTTTTAAATTCTTTTTTTTTATAAATTTTATATAATAACAATTATTTGATCAGTTAATAAAAATATTTAATTATAATATCAAAAATTTATTCTACACTTTTGTTTTGTAAAAAAACTACATTTTTTCACTTTATCGCTATTTTTTTTGGTAGAAAAACTTTACTGAATATGATTTTTTTTCCGCAAATATATTCTTTTATTATCTAATTCGAATATTTTTGAGGTCCCCAATATATCTATTCCAAAATTTTATAAAAAAAATTTAAGCTTTCAAACATTGATTTTTATAGTTTTGTCCACCTATTGGCCCACTGTGCGCTGGTTAAACTATGGTGCTACAGGTTATACGGTTTTTTGCGTTTAATTCGATTGGATTTAAAATGCAAAATAACAATATAAACTTATCTTATAAGTTGCTGCAAGCGTGTTGTTGCAGTGATATAACAAAATAGTCCGGAGTTTCCTTGATTGGAACATTAAAGTTTTCCAAACCTAATCAGTAATAAAATCAAAGGGTTGTAATAATAGTTTAAGTGCAATTAAAAAATACTTAGTAACAACCATAAACCTTAAAAATAATACTTTATTTAGTGATTTTTAATCAATAAATTAGGAGAACGTCATAATAGTTGAAACTTTTATACAATTTTTTGTTTGTAGACTTTAAGTTTGTTTGTAGACTTTAAGTTTGTTTGTAGACTTTAAGTTTGTCACGGTTATACTAGTCCTATAATAAGTTTTGAATTGTTTAAATTTTCACTGTAAAGATAAAAACCATTTTTAACCAATTTTTGTTGATTTTACTAGGTGTTTTTTTTTAAAAAAAAAAACAGTTCTGAATAAGGAATCAAAGTGTTCCAATTTAGGGAACCAGTTGCCTTGATTAGAACAAAATGATATCTTTTCAAAAACAAATTTATTTCCAATAACAATGCATACAAGTCCAATTGTGGTTATAAGTATTGTAGGGATGTCTGTTTGTATTAATCAAATCATAAATGTTTTCATAGTTAAGCCATCTTTGGTTAATAAATATTTATTTGTAAATTGTTTCAATTAAGTCAACACTCCTCTACGTCGAAATGTTAAAATGGAAATTTTGAAAAAAATTTTACAAAGTTTTTAATATTAGTGAAACTATATTTAAAAAAGTAATCTCATTTTAAGTTGAAAAAAATGTTTTTGATTGCAATTTAGATAATTATTAAACCCAATTGATTCCAATTGATGTCCATTCGATTCCAATCAAGCTATCCTAAGTATCCTTTTAGAAAAAACAAGCCTAAATGGATGAATAAAGAAACTAAAGAAATGATTCAACTCCGTAACAATATGCTAAAAAACTAATTAACAACTGTCGCAATAAAGAACTTATAGCTAAATTACATGTATTAAAAAAAAAAAAACAAGAAGTATTATCAAG